TGCCGATGTTCCAACCGAGACACATAACTCAGGAGAGTTTAGTTAAGGATCTTGTTGAATGATTTCCCAGCTCAGTTTGCATCAGAGCACCTGACAAAAGACTCTTGGCTGTGGCATTCAGGCAGTCAGACTGGAGGAGAACTGTGTGGAAGGGGAGGTTCATGGGCCATTTTGACTCCCAAGTGTCTACAGGTTAAATCAGCCTTCAGGTAAGAAAGGCAGCAGTGATGTAGAAGACAACAAATCTCAGCTGATTTCACAGAAGAAAAAGCAAAAAAACCCTCAACCAACCAAAGAAAGAACAACAAAAAAAAAAAAAAAGGAAGAAAAAATGTCCTAGAACCTCCCCACATTCAAAAGGTTCTAAAATAAGCAATGAATGCAAATATATTTTCTTTCAAAGAAGTTTTTTTATATTAGTTCTCATGAGGCAGTAAGTGACAATGTGGTATGTCAGTGAACACCAGCAGTGCTCCAGGACTGAATATATTGACACCATCAGGAAGTTCTTCCAAGACTGAAGGAAAGAACCAACTGCTGTGTTTATATTTATCTTGGCAGGCCAGTGAGCTCTAGCCTGACAGATACCATGTAGTTATGTTTGTAAAGTGCGGGAGCATCCACTTTAGATCATGTTATGAAGTTTCTTCACATTATAATTTTCCAATATAATATACCCAGACTTCAAGAGTGAAAAGAAAGTTTAGTAGCACCTAGATCTAAGCCTGGAAAAGTAATGGAAGAAAAAGTCTGAGAAATAAGTGAGGCCTCCTTTCAGTCAGTGGGATTTGCTGTGCAGAGATAGATTTGCATACATTTTGTTTGGAAAAAGAGGTAGAAAACTGGTAATTTAGTTCCTGTACTCTTAAAATAGATGGGCAGTATGTGATTTTGGGTTCTCTTCCCGCTTCAGGAAGCTGGGGAGTTTACAGATACTCTGGAATAAAGTTTGTTCCAAAATTGTCTGACAGAGAAAGAAGCATGCCTTTTAAAAGTGTAAAATGTTTTCAGCCAATGTTGGTCTTTCCTTGTGGCTTTGAGAAGTGTGATGGGGCTGGCAACAGTGATAGAAGTTGTGGAAGTTGAATCAGAGCAGTTCAGATAAGAGATGCAGATCTTGTGTGTTATTTTGGCATCACTACTATGGTTATGTACATAGGTAGGATGGAAAAAACCAGCTCTTCTGAAACAAAAAGAACAGCAATTTCATATGCTATGGGGAAAGAAAAAAACACAACAGCAATAACTGTGTTTATTCAGGTCATATTTATTCTCTGCTACAAGAAAAATATGTTTGTCTACATAAATAGACAAACATGCACTTCCCTTCATCAGGTACTAACACAAATATGGGCAGCTGTGCTGTTGGTGCTTCCTTCAGGGGAACTGGGGATTTAAGGATTCCCTTCTTTGTAACACCAGTTATAAAACTGATTTCATGGAACTATGGTTTTTATCCCAGCAAGGCCAATGAAAGAACAATCTCACACATGTACCATAGTGATGTTCAGTATGAAACACTTAGAATATTTCAGCCTGTTGAGGCACTTGTAGTTCAGTTGAGTGGCCTTCTATGAGCATGGAAAGGAGTGACTGTTGTTCTAGAAATCACCTCCAATGTCATTTACTTCTCACAGTGCCAAGTCCTTAATCCTTGTCTTGGATGCTTTGGCTGAAGGACCCTTCTGCCACCATAAGAGTAAAGTTTAGCAGTGCAAATGAGCCTCTTCAGTCCATCTTGACATTTGTACATCAGATTCCCAAAGTCACCATCAATGCACTTCAGAATCTCCTGAATTATTTATGCCCTGCAGTGTTGTCCCTCCAACAGATATTGGGATGGCTGATGTCCCTCATGTGGAACAGAGTCTGCAGACATGAGGCTGTTCCTATCTATTTGTAGAGGGTCTCATTCACTTTGCCTGTCCTGTTTCTAATCCTAACCCATAACTCTCCGTCAGCTCCTCATCCATCTCCAGGCAAAGTTTTATGCACTCCAGCTGCTCTCTTACATAAAGAGCAACTCCTCATTGTCTTCCTATTCTGTCCTTTCAAAAAAGCCTGTGTCCTTCCAAATGCAACACCTCATTCATGGGAGGCATCCCACCCCGTCTCCATGATCTCAACAAAATCATAGCCCTGCAAATTCACACAGATCCCTAACTCTTCATGTTTATGCCCTATACTTTGTGGATTAGTGTACAAGTACTTTAGAGATGCACCTCAGCACGTTGAGTTCCTGGAGAGGGTTTGGGTTATTTGTCCACAATGGTGTCTTGAAACCACCTTGGTGTCTACATGTAAGTGCTAGAGGTGAACCTGCCCAGACCCCATTGTGATGACTTTGTGAACTTCCCCTGCCACACAGATCCGTGCTCTTTACTCAGCAGTCCTGACTGGTGTTCCCTCCCACATTGTCACCCTGTCCCTCCCCCATCTTTTCTAGTCAGCCATCCTACTGCTGAAAACAGTTTTGTCCTGCCTAGTGAGGTGGATCCCATTTCTCTCAAGCAGATGCTAACTTCAAACTGAGTTCTGTGGTTATAGAACCCCAAACCATGTTGCCAACATTGATTTCACAGCCAATTATTCATTTCTCCTATGAATGCCCTCCTTCTCACACCCTTTCCATTCACCAGCACCCATGTGATGAAGTTCTATGGGGATGCTTTTGCCAGGAGCTCCTGCAAGATTGTGTTCCACAGACTCTTTCTGTTGATCCAAAGGTTACCAAAACTACATGCTTGTTTTGCCCTCCAGGGCTTGGACTCATTGGTAGGGTAATGCTAAGTTAAATATTTGTATCAAAGAAATGTCATGACTGGGATCACAGGCATGTGGTTTATTTGCTGAAGACTAAAAGTCACAGAGATGTGCTGCCCAGAGTCTGCATTTCCTCTTATCTATCTCCTCCTTACAGGATAATGTCATGGTTTGACTGCTCAAACCAGGACAGACAGAAATTGCTCTAGACCCTTGGCAGTGTTATGGATGTGTTCCTCAAGGAAGTGGTCCACATGCCAGGAAAAACATGTTTAGGATATTTTAACAACTAAGGGATACTCTGCCTGTGCCATGCAAGGACCAGACAACAAGCTCTTCCCATTGGTTCTGTCCAGCCCAGGTGAACCAGAGAGTAGTTTTTTCTATAAACCTGGCAGCACTTTGCTGAGTGCACCTCACATTCCCTGCATATATATTGCCCTTAGGACACAAAGAGAGCTTTAATTTAATGCATGTAAGAGGAATGCATTAAAAACCCCAACCAGCCAAAAAACAACAACAACAAAACAAAAAACAAACCCAAAAGTTCCCAAAGAACTGGCTCTTATCGTCATTGCTTTTGAATCTTCACTGTGGGGGTTTCATCTGCCTTTGCCTCCTCATTCCTTATCTCACTTCCATGTAATACTAATGTCAGAAGACAAACAGTGGGACGTTTCAACAAGGTTGAGAAGATACCTTGCCTGGACTTAAAAGATACTCCTGAAGAAACTATTAAAAATCTACTCCAGTGAAACAGGAGGAAGAAGGAATATGTCCGATATAAAAGCAACAGAAACCTTATGTTGGTTTGAAGACACAATGTCCTACTTAGTCTTACAGTTTCTCACAGTTAAGTTAATACTGAGGTCATTGCTGTGCTTGGGCAACATCTTAAAATATTAAATATTGCCTTAAGAAAAGGAGTTCTAAGGTTCTTGAAGTTAGCTGATGAACATTGTCATGTCCCTCAAGGCACTAACATCTGACGTGCTTTTAGGAGACGAAAACGGCTCCAAAGTTATCCAAGTACAAAAATAAGCTTCCAAACAAGCACAAATAACAACAACAACAACAAAACACACACACACAAAAAAAGGCAGTTGGGTTTAGTTATAATATTTATTTATTTATTTATTTTATCTGCAATTGTGAACCTGAGTGGTGTTTCTCAGTGGGATGCAGTTAGCTCATTTCAGTGTGAAAGGAGGTATTTTATGGCAATGGAAACTTGCAAAGGTATGAGCTTGGCAAAGAAATCCAGAGTGATTAATAAACAGCAGAGAAGAGTTTCGCCTTTTATGATCTATATATGGCTGTCTTAGGACTTGATCCAGCTCCCAGGAACTCTAGTGAGAAATCCAACTGAGCACTGCAGGCTAGAAATAGCTCAAAAAATCTTGCTTCTCTGAAGTTTAGGTCACTCAATGTCATGTTAAGACTATTAGCTCTCAAATTTGGAAAGAGTTGCCTCTGATGCACCACACAGTATTATCACACATCAGAAAAATAAGAGATACAGAAAAAAATCTAACTGTTCTTGGCTGCATTAGAAGACAGCAGTGACAAAGACAAGGGTCAGAGGATATTTAAAAGGAGCTGATCTACTGTGTTTTATCCCTCTGCTCTTAAAGGGAAAACCAGGAGTTACTCTCATCTCTTTTTTCAAGTTTTCCTCACCAGGCTGCCAGCCATTGGAAGCTGGAGAGCAAGAGGAGGTCAGCTCATTGGCAGAAGCTTCAGACTGTGCATGTGAGCACACCATCATGTTAGGCTACTGTAAAATTTAATCAGACACACCCTGCAATGTGGAAATAAAATTCCACTTAGGAGAAGCAAGCTGCCTCATTTTCTCCACCACCATTGATAATCATTACAATAGTTGCTACTAATATTGCTTTTTTAATTACAGCTCCAGGTAAAAGAGAAGAATTGGATGCCTTTCCAATTAATGTTATATATTCTCCAGCTTCCTTTTTACAGCCAAAAGGGAATGGATTAATCTCACTGCAATTTCTATTTTATGTTAAATATACCAGATAACTACCCTTAATATGAGAAGTCTATTGCAGAGGGCAGCTTGTCAGATCAAAACATCACCAGATGTAAGAAGTGCCCAAAACATGGGAAAAATAAACACAAGCATCAAGAAACAGCTGCTCACGAGGGAACACACAACATCTTATTGGAATAGTGCAGGAGGGTAATAAAGCCTCTAATTTGACAGTGATACCTACCTATTGTGTCTCCTTGCTCATGCACCATGGAGGCCAGGTCTTTGATGATCTGGTTCACATCCAACATGTCACTCTGAAAGGACAGGAAACCTAACATTAATAATGAGTAATATCCAAGCAGAAAAGGCATGTTTCACACTCAAGCTTTGCAAGGAAAAAACAAACCCAGAAGCCTTTTCTATGAAGAATTTAAAGAATTTAAAGAAAAAGTTTTAATGCGGAAGTCATCAATCAAAAATTCCCTTAAACAAAGCCAAGGTTTGCTGGATTTCAGTCAGCCTGTTGACTCATACTTTTTATAAGAAACAAGTCAATTAACAGATTATATGATTGCTTTTCAGAATTGTAGAGAATTCAGAGAGAAAACAAACAAACAATAAAAACATCAGCAAACCCTTATTTATTTATTTATTTTTTTTAATGTAGGCCATTCCATTGAGAGTGTGGATTCTCACACAGAAAGAGGTCATCTTTCAGCATAGTATCCATCTGATAAAATACAACTCACAAACTGATGGAAATATGATCAAAATCTCACTGAATCTGAAATATTACTGGCAAGGCAATAAGGAAAGAACTGTTTGATGAATGGATTCTTTTATACATTTTTCAAGTGTTAAAAAAACCCCCACAAACAGCTAGATTTAGCATGGAAATGTTCTTAGTTTAAACACAATAAATTGTCAGAGAGTTTGTTTCCCTCATTTCTGAACACTTAGCATGTAGAAGAGAAAATGTGAGCATAAGTTGACTTTATATTACACTGGCTTTCATAAAAAAATGAATCTAGAAATAATAAACATAGTAACATAGATACTGCTAAATGCACTACCAGTAAGGCAACATTAGGAGAGCAGAAAAAAGAGACACTCAAAGAGGATGTATTTTGTTAAACTGTACAAACCACAGACGTAATGTTGGCAGGAACCTTTGGAAATCATTCAGTCCAACACCCCTGCTCAAAGTAGGCAATTACAGAAGGCTGCTCAGGATCATGTCCACTTGGTTTTTGGATCTCCACAGAAAGACTCTACAGACTCTCTGGCTCTGTAATTAATCTGTCTGCTTGGGTCTTGTTGCAACTTGAGTCCATCATGCCACGGGGTCTGATTGCTTCCAGCCCACTTTTAAAGAACTCAGCTTCCTCACTGGCAAATTTGGGAAATGCTCCAAAATGAATCCATGTCCTTCTACTGAAGTTTGTTTTGAGAATGTAAGTGGCTTGACAATGAATCATTTAATGCAACACAATTACAATCAAGTCTGGGAATCCCATTGCAAATTCTAGAATATACCAAAGTGTTGAAAAACTAAAGAAGCAGGAGAAACAAAAGGTTTAAAAATCTTGAAAAATCACAATGAAACAAACAAACAAAAAAAAAACCCAACAACCAAAAAACCCCAAGAAAAGCCTGGGTAATGCATCACAAAACGCAATCATTCATTCACTTGTCAAGCATAAAGAAGCCTTAATTATGTATGGTAATATTCATAGCTTGTAAATACTTCAGAACGTTTTGTAAAAACAATGAAGTTTAAGTGACTTGAGATTGCCCTTGAGCACTGAGATACTAGATCATTGCCAGGAAACAAGGAGAAATTAGTTCTGATTTTTTGGGGTGAGGAAGTTATTTGGGCTTATTTATTTATTTATTTATCTTAGCTTACAGATATTTGAAAAGAGAAAGCTAAAGTTTAGCAAAATGTGAAGAATTGAGAATTAACTTTAATATGTTGTTCTGCTCCCATGTAACTGCTTAGTAAAAGATGATTAAGGAAAAATTATGCAAACAAATGATAATAACAAAAAAGCTTAGAATGCTCATTAGTCTCTCTTGCCTAAATTGTCAGTGACATCAGTCTCTGGTTTCTGTCACTTGCAACATTAGCAACATTTGTTCTATCTTTAGGTCAGTCTGGTTTGTTTGGTTCTGCTCCTTTCCAGTGCTTTAAGTGAGTGCACCTTAAAACTCATGACCATATTTTGCAGTTAGATTTGGTTGTATAGAGGTTATTGCAATATATTCAAGTTTACACCCCATCCTAAGTACTTAATAGAATCATAGAATCATAGAATCATAGAATCACAGGGGTTGGAAGGGACCTCTGAAGATCATAGAGTCCAACCCCCTGCTGCAGCAGGAACACCCAGGGCAGGTCACACAGGAACATGACCAGACAGGTCTTGAAAATCTCCAGAGAAGAAGACTCCACAACCTCTCTGGGCAGCCTGTCCCAGGGCTCTGTCACTCTCACAGTAAAGAAGTTGCTCTTCATGTTGAGCTGGAACTTCCTGTGTTGTAACTTGCTGCTGATTCCCCTCGTCCTATCACAGGGCACCTCTGAAAAGAGACTGGCCCATTCTTGACACTCACCCTTCAGATATTTATAGACATTAATAAGAACCCCTTTTCCATTGGAATAAAAGAAGTGGGCAATTCAGTCTAGGAAAGATCAGGTGATACTATGAGGAGGTGACTCCTCATAGGATCCTCCTCAGCTAATTTAAATGCCAGGAGCTGGGTTACCTGCCTACTAATCCCCAGATATTATGGTGAGAAGGGGAGAATGAGAAAGGAAATGCAGTGAATGAACAGCACTGCTTCAGATTTGCCATTTATAACCAGGTACTTGGGATGAAACAGCCATCTGCTGCTGCAGAGTTTAGATCTTTTTCATAGCACTGCAACAACACTTAAAATTATTGTTTAGCAAATATGCATTAGTTATAAAGAGCCACTGAGCTATTAGGAAGGAAAATATGCAACTGCTGTATTTAAGGAAAAACAAACAGGGGTGAGTTGTAAAGCACAGAGCAATCTGACCTGCAGCAAGGAATCTGTTGAATAATTTAACCTGGCAATATGAAGTTTCCAAGTCCCTGATACATGTAAGCAAAACAAAAGAAAAAACAGAAGAAAGAAAAATAGCCAGAAATAAAGACCTTCCACAATGGAATATACCTGTATGTTCCTGTTCCTTCCTGCCAGGTTAGCTCTATCACAAAGTATCTCTGAACTTGCCAGGTGTCAGAGTTTGTTAGCAAAATCAGATTGTCTTTGATTTCCCATGTTTGCTTGTACTATGCAGAATTCACAGTGAAATACAGCTCCTCATAAATCCCTTTGACTCCACAGAAAGCAGGAGAACAACAGCTACTGTTCCAAAAATGTTTTCTCTCTGCCAGTCACCTAGGCTGGAGTTCCTTGGCTTTTAATCAACATCAGTTTTCCTTGTCTGGCAACAATTCACTCCCTACATTTGGCAGCAAGAGGGAGATGTTTAAATGGCTTCATCTAAATATTTATTTATTTATGTTTATTCACCAAAGGAGAAATCTATCATACAGATTAGTATACAGGATTTAGTGTCATCCAAGCTGGAACAAAAAGGATCAAGAATAGTCAAGAGTAAAAATAGAGATGGCTACAAATAATGGCAGCAAGTAAAGATGCCCAAAAGTTGCAGAGAAGTGCCAATAAACAAGTCACATAGATAGGAAAGCCAGAGAAATGAAAGAGGTTTAGACACTAAAGATCTGAAGGAGTAACTCTCACTAGGGAAAGTTAGTTTGGAAACTAAACAGAAAAGTACTAGGTTAAAATGGTATTTGACATTATATTATACATATACATCTGAAAGATGTAATATAAACTCCATGAGTGTATTTCTGTATGTGGAAACACTTCAAAACAAAATAAAGCAAAACTCTAGTGCTTGTTATTTTTGGGGCAAAAACCAAACCAAACCAAACCAAACAAACAAACAAGCAAAACCCAAACCCCAAACAAATCCCCAAATCCAACCAAACCAAACCAAAGCAAAGCACCCAAACAAACAAACAAAAGAACCACAACAAAAATATATAAAAAACAAAAACCTCCCCAAAAAACCAAATAAACAAACAAAAATGACAAACAAATCAACAAAATAAAGCCAAAAAAGCCCACATTTTGTAACATCTGGCACTTTTTACCAAAGTGATGCTGAGCTGCTGCTGGTGCATTCTCCCATCTGTAACACCCTTGGGCACCTCCTACCATAGTCCATCTTGTGTAAACCACAGACCATAGAACCATAGAATGGATTGCACTGGAAGGGACCTAGATGATAATCTCTTTCCAAACCCCTGCAAAGGCAGGGACACCTCCCACTTGATCAGGTTGCACAATGCCCTGTTCAACCTGGCCTTGAACACCTCCAGGGAGGGGGCATCCACAGCCTCCCTGGGCAACCCGTTCCAAAGTCTCACTACCCTAACAGTAAGGAATTTCTTCCTGATGTCTAACCTAAATCTCACCTCTTCCAGTTTAAAACCATTACCCCTCAGCCTATCACTACACACCCTGGTGAAAATCCCTTCCCAAAAGCACAGAATGCATCCAGAACTCACAGAAAGACTAATCAAAGCATGATGTTGGTCTCTCCCTATTGTCTTCTGTGAGACAGGGGGAGGAAGAGAAAAGTAAAAGAATGTATAAAATGTGAACAACTCCTCTGTTGCTAGATGGGCAAAAAACTAAATCTCACTGCAACTGCCTTTCGACAAATATTTTTCTCTTGTCTATGGCTGGGGAGAAAAAAATGACATTCTATAAATCAAACTGCTTCAGCCTAAGCAACAACAGACCAGCAGAAAATTGTTTTGAGGGCAGAAGCTATCCAGAACAGCAATTATAGACTGAGTTAGATCTCCTCTGGGACTGCACAACAGTCAGTGTGGGGAGTTTCTCTTCCTCTTGCTTGTGCTGTCGTAGCGGTCAGTGGCATCGCCACTGCATCATGAACACAGTTGTGTCAAGCTTCAGCATGCTAATCTGGCACCTACCTGGGGACAACAGGCTCAGGAAACTCAACATGAACAGTGTTCCTGTCCACCGAATGCTAAAATGAGAGGCTGTGGGAAGTGAGATACCTTGAGCGTTGCCAGCAGGTTAAGGGAGGTCATTCTTCCCCTCTGCTCTTGTGACACACCACCTGGAGTGTTGTGTCCAGTGTTGGAGTCTTCAACACAAAAGGGACATGGACTTGTTGGAATGAGTCCAGAGAAAGGCCACAAAAAAAGATCAGAAA